GTGTGTGTGTGTGTGTGTGTGTGTGTGTGTGTGTGTGTGTGTGTGTGTGTGTGTGTGTGTGTGTGTTACCATACTGAAATCAGATAGTAACCAACGATAGTAAAAATTTATCGCAATTGAACTCCAAGTGCCCTTATTGTATTAATTTCTTTTTGGATTACATATGAAATAATAACCCTTATACGAAATAATAAACCTTAGAAATTTCGGGGTGAGAAGTTATTAAAGATGTCCGGGCTGAAATAACTTCTTTATTCACTTTAAAGGTTAAATATTATTATCCTCTATAATTGAAATTACTTGCACGAAGCAATTGGCCTTCATTGGCTTATTTTTCTCTCAGTCTGGTATGATCTGTACTTCAGAGTCTGTTTGTATATAGTGGAATTTGTTTGATTTCACGAGTTTGTTTGATTTCACGTAAAAGCGCGCGAATCTCTGATCGTGCAGTTTTTCAGTCGTTACCGTATCTTCATATTACCGTGCTGCATCCTTTACCCAAGCTTAATGCACGGCTCTCTCGCTGCGATCGCTACCTTGAAATTAGTAGAATTCCTGCTCACGCTGTGGAATTATTTTCTCCGGCTGAAGCCCCTGTAACATCTCCGACGTTTCCGGTTCCCATCTTCCCGTTCTTCATGCTCATGAGACGACGGTCCGCCGGGGGGTACCTGAATGTACTCGTGCTACGCCATACACGCGGCGTTCAACAACCTCTCTGTCCTCGCTTACCCACCTAGTTGACCTACAATGTGGCCGACTAGCTGACGCTAGACAGAACTAAAAACGGCAGCAAAGGAGCGCCGAGTGTACGTCGGCATCATGCAACCGTGTGAAGTCGAGCTAGACATGGGTCGCCAGTGATTGTCAACAAGCGTGATCGATATCAGTCGTTAAATCACCGAGCAAAATCACCGTCGCAAGGTCACGCGGAAATCTCAGATAGTCAGATGCTTATGGGACAGAGATTCATTCGATACTTACGAGATGATCGTAACGCACAGGGTAAAATACCTAATTATTGATTCTCCTTAATCATTGATACTCTAGAAAAATTTGTTTTTTCCTGCGATTTGCGACGGCTATTCACGATATTAATTGTGAAGTTCTCTCTTGGGATTATAGAGTGTAGGCAAGAAGTTTAACTGCAATACTGGTTGTAAAAAGAGTCAGGATTTTTTCTAGAGTGTCAATAATTAGGTGTTTTATCTTAGATATTTTACATACTTTACTCCTTTAGATACTTTACATGTTTGAGAGCAGTAAGAGCGATTCTCTTCTGGCGAACGATGACATTCACTGACAAGCGGCGTAGTGAAGCACCGTATTCGCGCTAATGTCGGTACGATAATCGCAAACCTGACAAGACATTATCGCCCAAGCTATTAGAACATCAGGATATCAAGCAGAATTTCGAAAGGAAACGAAACTCGAACCTGTCTGTCAAGACATTCTCCATTTCAGTTTTTCAGTTTTCAATTTGATACGCGACTCGCTTACTTTACGTCACTTTGCGTCATGTTATGTCACTTGAGGGAATCGAGAAAGCGTATTTCGGAGCGGATCGAGAAAGTTCGACGTTGCGTTAGAAGTCACAGCTCCTAAGTTTTCGTTTTCGCGTTCACGCACGAGGGAAGAATTGCAAATTGAATCCTTTTGTTTCTCTTTCCATAGGCCGAGAGGGACCAGCTGGAGGAAGCTCGCAAGGTCTTGGACAAGCGACTCGAGAGCTGCGAGTCGGAACTGCGCACCAAAGAGGACGAACTGTTCCTGCAGTTGGAGAGGAACCTGCGACTGGAGGAAGAGGTCGAGCGGACCAAGCTCGAGAGGGACAGCTGCCTAGCGGCGCGAGAACGTCTGGATCAGGAGCAGCAGACGGCCCTGCGTCGTTTGCATCTGCAGCTGGATCAGAATGAAATCACAAGGCGGAATCTTGAGAGAGCGCGCCTCGACGTTGTTCGGCAGGCCAACATGATCCGCGAAGAGAAGGACGCTCTGGAGAAAGAAGTGAGTCTTCGGGGATCCGCGACGTGACTTCGGGGGAATCATCGCTATGTGACTCGCTAACTTCTTGTCTCTGTTCTTTGCAGAATAAATCGCTCAGGGAGAAACTCAGAGTGGAACAAAATGAGCGAGGAGCCGAGGTACGTCGTCGCGAAGAAGGCGTCGCCGCGCTGACTAGGGAGACTGTCACATTAAGGCATGCGGCACGTCACCTCCGCGCCGTCACGCTCCACGCGACGTCCTGTCGGAGTCGCCGTCGATGCTCCATCTGTCTCTACGCCAGGCGCACCTTCGCCGAAGTGGACGACTGTCGTGACGAGTAAGCAGATTTGAAATCCCGTCCGACAATCGCGTGATCTCTTCTGCTCGGGATCTTGATCAACGCGTCGATAGAGATCTCCTAATATGAATATGATATCGATACTTTTGATTCGATAACAATACAATTAGTCACTTCAAGTAATCTCATGAAAATAAATAAATTAAATAATAATGTATATGTTAAACACACAAAATTGATTTTGTTGGGAAATTTGAACATTTGAAAACGTAATTATATTATATTTTTGGTATCGATATCGCGAAGCGATATTTTATCAGTACGGAATTGGTATCAAAAGAAGGAGTCTCGATATTGAATGAAATCTAAACTCCAAATATAGGATTTACATTACATCGAGGATTCAACGCATTACAACGATCCGATATCTAAGGCTGGTTTTATGTTAGTAAAACCGCAGTCTCAAAAAACTGATGCCACAATAACACAATTTAAAAATGGGCTGTCATCTAAATATTTGCAGAAACTTTTGTTTCTGATAGTATGGGGGAAGATGAATGTTTAACAATTCTTTGCATTTGTTATTTGTATTGCTTTTTTAGTTCTTAATTGTACTTAATTTTTATTCTTTTAACTACTTCTTGTAAAATAAATATAATAGTTATTAGTATTATTTGTAACAATACTAATATAATAGCATTTAATTTGCTTAAATTGCTTTATATTTACGTAGTATTCAAACGTAGTATTTCAGAGTATATGTAGTTTCGGGAACTTAAAAAATATTTTATTATCAAGAGGCGACTCTTAAGAGGCGGGTCGTAGATTAGGATTGCTCATTTGCGACTCTCGTCTTTAGGGTGTTAAATGAACGCACTGTTTCAACTCTACTACAACTATTTCTACGTACACTATTCTAAAAGAAATCTTTGCATTCACAGTGGGAATATCTTCAAGTGCCTTCAAGCGCCCTTACAAGATCTTCGCAGTTGGTTTCGACCCTGTACGACATCGGCCGGCTCGTCACAAGGTCTGCGAGCAAACTCAGTCGTAACAGATCAAGGAATCGGCTACGTCGACGATTCCAGCGTTGACAGCAGCGGCAGTGGCAGCAGTAGCAGCAGCAGCAGTAGCAGCAGCAGCAGTAATAGCAGCAGTAGCAGCAACAGCAGTAGCACCAACAGCGTTTCTGACGATGAAGCGTGTCCGAGCACTCCGGTGGCCGAACATTCCGTTTCGCTGACCACTTCCACTGCACCGCCTACGGCTAGAGCCTTCTCTTCGGATTCAGGGTATGTAAGAAAGACCAAGACGTGTTTGCAAAGAAAACTTCTTTTATGTATCGTGAAGGGAATTATAGGAATGGAACCACAACGTATTCTTTTAACTTTATTTTATAAAAATAAAATGAATGTCCCAATTAATGACCTCAAATAACCTCATTGTGAAAATAAATAAATAATAATATATATGTTAAACTAGGCACACAAAATTAATTTTTTGGGGAAACTTGAACATTTGAGAACGTTTTAATTATGTCATATTTTTCTAATTGATATATATTGGAAAATTTTACTTTATTTATATTTTCTCAAAGATTCTCTTTTTTTTCATACCTATATTTTTTTAGAATTATGTTGTGGATTTGCTCGTCCTTTATGTTGTCGTTTACTCTCTCCTTTAATAACGAAATTAAAAAAAAAAATTGAAACGTGCCTCAATTGTCATTATTATTAAAAACAAAGGTATCGCTGTTGCAATATCACCTAACTTATGTTGCGCTGTTTCAGCTTTTCCTCGGAAATCGGAGACCGCAGATCGCAATATTTCGAGAACGTCAGCAGCAGCACGAGTAGCGGCAGTGATAAGAGCAGGAAGATTAGCGACTCATTAGATTGCAACGAAACCGATAATCGTGAGATCGCGACGGCGGGAGGTAGCGGATTCAACCGAGGCTCCAAGTGGACTTCTTCCTTCCGCAGACTGCTCGGCCGAAAGTCGAAGGGCAAGTCCGATTGTCCCTTACGAACGACTAAGACTGATAAGCCGCGATAAACGGCACGATATTTTGTAAGTACTCGTTGTGAACGCGTATTCCCGTCCTTTCTCTCTTCGTTCGCGACGGGCGCCGCGAAGAAGATTCAATCCTTCGCGAACTGATCGAGTCTAACCGCAACTGGAGGATCGCCGGAAATCATGGAAACTGCCGAGGGTTTGTGTAATAACTCTTCCGAAAAAATATGTACATAATCGGAGAAACGAGGATTTAGGGATTTAGGGATCCTGGAATTTCTGAGAGAGTGACACATATCTTGGGACTCTTTTTTTTTAGAGAGTGTTGGCTGCAAAGCACAGCGAAGTAGATTCCGAGAGTTAACGCGCGAATATCTTAAGAAATATTAGAGAGAACAGGTAACTTCTCCCTTCTTCTTTCGCTCGTAACATAATACGTAACGATCTTTTGTACTTACTACGACGGTAAGTAGCGGTAAATGACGTAGAAGTTGCATTCTCCGCTCCAGAGTCCAGAAACCCTAAGTTTAAGTCCCGACACCCGTTCTCCGCGGTGTAGGAATTGAATTTCGCACGAGCTAGAGATTATCATGATAGTATAAAACGAGAAGGAGCTAGATTATTATAGGCACGCTCGTGATCGAACTTTCCAGATATTTAATAGCGAATTATATTAGACAAATTTTAAAAGCTCCAAGTTTAGGAAAAGAAATTACGTAATGAAGAATGCAGTTCGAGTCACGTGATATAAATAGTTATTGTTTGTATCTCCAGAGTTTTTGCGTCGTTACTTTTTATTATTATTATATCACGACAAGGTTGTTGTTCTATTAGCCAAAGAGTGAAAACATTGAGACATTAATGAGCGAAGATTGATCAGTTGTCGTCAAAAATTGGAAGTTACGAAACGGAAAGGATTTCTCTCACTTCGTTGACGTTTCGTCGATCGACAGAGTCAATTTCTTAATGCGATTTTAAGTAAGCGTGTGGTGATAGCGCGATTGGACCAAATTATTCACACGGCACAAATCTGTCGCGACGACGTACAATGTAGAGAATATGGATATTATAAATGGAAAGAAAATATATCATGTATATGAGAGACAAAATGTGTTCTTTTTTAATATTTCTCGATTACCACGTTTCAATGGAAACATTTGAAAATATCTTGGCATCAAAAGCTTAAAAAAGTTCTCTAATTAATAGATCCATCCGAGAGATATCGGATAATTTCTTAGATTATATAGAAAAAGGGATAACTCAATTATCGCTATTTTCATTATCTGTTATGCGTCTATGAAATCGTAAGAATTCTTGGCCTTGATATAAACTGTAACGAATTAAAGAAGAAAACCGATAAGCGTTATCTTATCATGTTATCTACTTATCACAGACTCAAGATTTATAAATATATTACTCATTAAACCTCTATAACACGTTCTGATCTTGATCGAATCTAAATCTAGCGAACACAACGTTGCATGTAACGTACATGTTAATTATAGTTTCCTACTTAACAATGTAACTGTTATATAATACATATATTATATAACAGTTGCATTGTTGAGTAGGGAATTATAACTGTGTTGTGTTTGCTGGGGAGAATCTATGAAATTAGATTCTTAACTAGAATCTGACATAAAATTATAATTTTTGGATTTTCAGATTTTCCCTGTTTACAATAATGGATACAAAACGATATGTATATGTATATATATACATATATATACATATACATATATATATATATATGTGTGTGTTGGTGTGTGTATATATGTGTGTGTGTATGTATATGTATATACGATATGTATATTTATGTAATGATATTACATAAACGTGAATTTCAATCTAAATCACTATGTATCAATAAGATGACATTTGATTGAAATTCAACTGAACGTAATATAATTTTATTATTTTGCATCCATTATCTTAATCAGGGCTTAATAATTTTCAAGGAATCCGCGGATTTTCGCGTTCGCAAAAGAACTTTGTTTATTTTTATATAGATTTTGGATTATATATCCGAGTACAAAGATGAATCATAAGATGAATCATATGGAAACATAAAACAGAAAGGAAAGATTCAAACTTTATAGATACCAACGGGTAAGATATCCATCAATCAATCTTAGAATCTTATCAATATGATGTATGAGGTATATTAATTTACTATATATTCTCTTGCAGGGTGTAATCGATAAATATAACGGCAACTCAATATTAATTACGTGTAACAGCAGTTATATTACATGTTACTTTTATGTTTGAACGAGGATATATTTTAAAGGGCTATAGAGTTCACACACAGATATTATAATGCCTTAAATTTTAGATATAATTGTTCTCCCAATTATGGAATGAACAAATTTAACATTTTACAAAAAATCATTTTTTAACATTATACGCGTTTCGGTCATCAAGACCCTCTACAATGAAATTTATAGAATTAAATAATAATAATGACGCAAATTGAGCAAATAATAAACGCAATACTAGATTTGAGGCTTTCACGGCCATTGATACAATGTCTAGGTATAGCTTCCGGAATGGAGCCGTGTCTTGAATCAGCGATATGCCGACGTTTCGCAAACGTTGCAGATTGCATCATCAATAAACGTAATAAGTATAATTTAAATATAATTTAAGTATAATTTAAATATAACGTCGGCAATTAGAGTCAACGTATCAAGTGGTCGTATTGTCTTGGCTATCGCAAAACCAAGTTTCCAGGAAAGAGACTGATAATAAACAGCAATCTTCCACATCCTCTTTTGGTGTGTGAACTCTATAGTCCTTTAAAATATATCCTTGTTTAATCATAAATGATTTATAATTTGAGTTCTTTCATTACTATTTACTTTTATGTTAGATAATATTATATTCTATGTTTGTTGAATACTTTCTTTTTAATGTAATTATATAATATATTCTATTTAATGTTCCTATTATTATTTATATAGATAATATAATAGAAATATTAAAAATTAGGTAGTTTCAGATATATATTTAAAATTACGTATCATCGTTTACATATAAAATAGTTTATAATTTATGACTATGTTCAGATAGCCCAAAATGGGCGAGAAATTCTTCCTCATTCTTTCCTCTTGAGGAAACGTCACCATCCCGATAAATACGAATCTATTTCGTTATCAAGTACATTAACTATTTGTGGCACAATAGACATTTCGTTTTACTCTCTCGGTTCTTGTTAAACTGCTTCGTTGCCAGTCGTCTTCGCCAGAAGCGTCAACGTTCGTCGATGTTCGTTCTCCCATTCGTCCACGTGCACTCCCACTCACGACGCGCCATCAAGAAACCGGTGTGTGGAACCGACGGAAGCTACATGTATAGCAAGAGACGGTCCCGGTAGTGCGTTTTTGGTGTCGCGACGTGAACACTGGTGCATCGGCGTTCTGCAACGTGCGATATTCTACATTTGGCGCAACAGGTATACTTATTAGTAGGTTATACCACGCGAACTTGCAACCGTGCAATTAATTGGTCAGTTGCCGCGTTTCTCGAATTAGAAATGAAATATGGAACGACTCGATCGCGACTCGATCAGCGTTCAATGATCGAGACTCGCGTCAAGACGGAATCGAGAAATCGACTGGTTTCTCATGCGGAAGAAACCGAATTTATCATCAAATTCAATCGTTGTTGCGGAAACAATCGAATGTTTCACCAACTATTATTTAGTTCGCTACTTATTTGATCAATGTTACTATATTCGACGATCCTGCACACAGAAGAATTTTACTGCTTAACATTACATTGCTATTTCTAGGAAAAGTGATTACTTAGCTTACTATTCCCTTTTTAATTAATGCTAATGTTCAATAAAGAACATTTTTTCGCTAACCTCTCTAATGGTCTTAAATTTACTTATCACAAATAAAGCCCATTATTTTGTATTTAAGAGAAAAATTTAATCTCTTTACAGAAATATGCTCAAATATTATCATAGAAAAAATTGATTCGATTTAATAAGTAAACCGAGTTTTTCTTTTAATTTAATATTCTTAGTTGAAATACTCACTTTACTAGAATTTAGAATGTATTTTAAATAGATTTGATGTTTATAATGAATTTATGATAGATTTACGGATTTATAAATGTGTGTGTGTGTGTGTGTGTGTGTGTGTGTGTGTGTGTGTGTGTGTGTGCGCGCGCGTGTGTGTGTTTGTCAGCTTTTCATATTCCACGAACACAAACGTGATTGCAGCTGAAAGCGATAACATAACTCTGAGACGGCAAAATCTTATTTTCTAAGTAGCTTTATGCGGTCGATATAGGAGAGACAGATAAAATTGAATCGAACACGGCTGAAGATTAACCGGTTGAAGGCAATCTTGATAGTTTTCAGCATTTAGGGTGGGTTTCTGGTTTCGAATGAATTAGCAATTTGTATGGAACATTTCACATACTTCGCCAATGCCGTCATTCAGTTTTTGCAGGCGACCTAATCGGCGCGACGTAACGCGACGAACGAGGAAAACCGCGATTTATTAAAAGATCCTCCGATTCAAAAAGAGATACAGACGAAACTGAAGAAAGATAAAAGCAAGAAACAAAATCGACGCCAAGCCGGTACCGTTACGTCGTTTGGAATTAGCGAAAGGCGAGGCTTGTGATAAACCGTCTGCTTATCCGTTATCTCTTTATGATATACACTAAGCAATTTATCGAAGGTAAAACACCGCTGTTTATTTTTGCCGTATGTCGATAGGATGGGTCGAGAAATACGTCACGTGCACTCGTGCACACTTTGTTCCGAGAATGAAAAATATTTTGATACGTCAATTGCGACGCGTATAGGTGGGGTCAGATAAGTATATCGATTCCGGGATGACAGGAGGAGATAGGAGCAGACAGGGAGAGACGGAGAGAGGAGGAGGCATCGATGCAAATCAAGCCTCTGCTGCATTAAAAATCTACTCTTTCGCCGAGAATGTTTTCGACCGTCGTAACGTTGTTTGGCTCGGCATTGGGCATCGTGTTCACCTTGAATCTCGCGAGGCACCAGGCCATGTTACGCACAGTACACGTTTAAATTTATCCTTACGCCGCATACATTATTTTCTCTCTCCCTACCTCTCTCTCTCTCTCTCTCTTTCCTCTCTCTCTCTCTCTCTCTCTCTCTCTCTCGCTCGCGACAGAAGAGTATCAATGAAGAGATCGAGAAAGCGCCGGCCAAAGTATAGATTTCACATTCCACGTGTCGAGCGCCTCCTTCGTGAAACGGAGCCTCCACGCTAAAAATTATCGCGCGTGCTGTATCAAGAAAAGTAAAAGAAAGAGAAGAATATACATGCGTTTTTGTACATACAGTGAGACACGTTAACGCCTAACGAACCTTCGCGGTAGTGATACTTGTAATTAAAATCAGGCGTTACGTGATGACAATAGTATTGTTATCTTTATATGTTTAACTGATACGACACATGGAGTTAATGTGAAATATGTGAGTCACGTATGTAACGTGTAGGTATGCATATATATATGCATGTTCATCGTATTGCAACGAGAGTCGCATATTACCTGCTTCTCTTTTAGAGAACCAGAAGCAGCATGACGACATTCATAATTCAACAGAGAATTTCGTTTCTCGCGGTTGAATGAAGGCAAATTTCTATGTGCGCACGCGCGTTGGGAATGCTTATAATAAAATTCAGAAATTAATTTAACTTTGTTGAGCAATTTTTCCTTATCTACCAGCTGTTTAATACGTTCGATTCTGTTTGTTCGATTCTGAATGAAAAATTCTCAGTAAGCTATATAGTGAAGAGATTACACAGTAATCATGTTAATAATCTGCAAACAATTACGTCATATTAATTCCGCGAACACTGTGAATAGTGATAGTGACTGATGTATTCATGAATAATTTCGAACAACACGCAATTAAAATCCACTTTGGACGACTTATGAACGCCTGTCCTTGCACAAAAGTCCTCCACCATTTTGCAAGTAACTATGCAGATTTTTTGTTATTGGTGAAAGAACATTGATGCATTATTGCGATCCGATAATCTTCTTTTTCAATTAATAACTCAAAGAGAGATCTACGTGGTTGTGTTTGCAAAATGGTATGGAATATTCAGTTTAAGCTCATTTAAGAGTGATAAGATACAGTCCATAGACCAATCAATCCATCATTTATATGTATAGACATGCGCGTTGTGCAAAAACTGTAAACACGATACGCACGACTATTGATGAAATATGATACCCAAAATTATTGATGAAAATATATCAATTGTGCGTCAGGGAGAGAGAGAGAAATGCATGTAATTTTTCTAATGGGACATAGAATAATCGATCATAAAGCTGAACTGAAATGCTTTTGTCGTCATACCGCAATATCGTGAATAATATAATTTCCGTCAATAACGTGCGAAAAATTGTTTCGCTTGACTTAATTGTTCCACTTATTGCTCTACTTAAGATAACTGCAATAAGGTCGATAGACCTCTGAGTACGTTTAATTGCTGCATGCGAGGTCACGTAGTACGTTTTACTGCACGAAACATTCGTATATCGCTTCTCAGGATCGACAATTCGTTGCACACACGTGATCCTATTTTCATCCACCCAGTGAGAAATGATTTATTGATCAACGTCGAAAAGACGTCGAAATCGTCAAATAGACGTCGATCAATAAAGGGACGTCTACATTGGAAGTAAACAGTAAGAAGTAGGAAGTAAGAATAAGAAATTGACCAATCATAGTTAATTATTTTTCTCACATTCGACTGTGGTTGGTCAATTTCTTACTCTTACTTCCTACTTCTTGCTATTTACTTCCAATGTAGACGTCTCTTAAGTCATTTCTCACTGCCAGTAAAGAATTTCGTACTCGTAGCATCGTCGGTTCGACTCTGAATTTATCATACTGCTGATTCGTCTCTTTTGTCTTTATCTGCTCTCGCAATAGTTTGCGACGTTATATGATCCAGCGAGAAAGGTTACGTCGATTCGACGTCTACTAGACGCCTATATGAAATGTCTATCTACCATCTACGTCTAATCTAGATTCACATTTAGATGTCTAATAGATCGTCATTTCGACGTCTTATCGATGTCTAATAAACCGTCATTTCGACGTCGATTCGACGTCGATCAATAAGTCATTTCTCACTGGGTTGTTTCATAAAAATAACCAATTCCTAATTTTCTTCATATCTTATAAACTGCTAGAAACCGAAGATTGTCAAAAATACGCTAAAACTTTCGCGAATCCTGCCTCGATAATTTCGAATCCGAAGCGGTCATCATCCATCCTGACTGCGTTGCTTAAACCTGATGATCAAGCGGCACGCGGTGTTTCAATGACTCCAACGATGTTCTTATAATTTATGCTTAAAAATGTATACTTACAGTATTCATATTATCAGGACCTTGAATAAGTTCTCGCTGTTTTCCAACAGATGGCGCTACCAGAACTGCGTGCGTGTAGTTTAAGATAGTAACGCATTTATAAGGAAGTACTTTAAGCAAGCTTGAAATTCAGTGTATGTCATTTCGCCGAAGTAAACAACTTTTTTTTTCATAGTGTTAAACATGACGAGTTTCGTGACAAAAAAAGAGTATTTGCGGGGAATTTCACTGCACTAATTTATTAAAAAAAATCTGCAGCTGAAGCACACAGAATTCTTGTTGAGACTTACGGCGACCATGCTCTGTCGGAAACAACATACAGAGATTGGTTTAGACGCTTCAAAAACGTCTGATTCATCATCAAACGTCTATTTGACGATTTCGATGTCGATCAAAAATCATTTCTCACTGAAATCGCGCGCGTTTTGCATAAAAAATTTATTCTAAGTGGAAACGTCAGTTTTTTTTTTTAGATTTCCGTTTCAATTATAGTATTACAAAGATAGGAATGTCAGATTACTCAAAAAACATTAAACTGGAAGGAATGATCAAAGTCATCTTGCAAATAACTACATAAACTTTAGAGATATTAAATAAAATAAATAGGCGAATCAATGCGTATATTTGCTAGGTATGTTATAATATATTAGGACCTTAAATAAGTTCTCGCTGATTTTTCGTGAAAATTAATGCTTTATTTAAAAAAAGTCGTAAAAAACATGTCAAAAAATGAAAGTAGTTGACGTTTGAATGATTTTGATGTTGAAGATAAAGAACGCTCTGGCGCACCGAAAAAGTTTGAAGACAAAGAATTGGAGGCATTACTTCATGAAGACTCATGTCAGACGCTAACTGAACTTGCAGAATCATTAGGAGTTGATCACACAACAGTTTCGAAACGTTTGAAAGTATTAGGAATGATTCAAAAGCAAGGACATTGGGTGCCGTACGAGCCGAGAGACGTCGAACGGCGTCTTTTCACGTGTGAACAGCTGCTTCAACGGCAGAAAAGGAAAGGTTTTTTGCATCGTATCGTGACTGGCGATGAAAAGTGGATACACTACGATAACTCTAAGCGTAGAAGATCGTGGGGTAAGCCCGGCCATGCATCAACATCGTCGGCAAAGCCGAATATTCATGATTCGAAGCTTCTGCTCTGCATTTGGTGGGATCAGCTGGGTATAGTTTATTATGAGCTGCTCAAACCAAACGAAACCATCACGGGAGATCGCTATCGACTACAATTGATGCGTTTGAGCCGAGCATTGAAGGAAAAACGGCCGCTATACGAGCAGAGACACGACAAAGTGATTTTGCAACATGACAACGCTTGGCCACATGTTGCATAACCGGTGAAAACCTACTTAGAAACTTTTAAATAGGAAGTCCTGCTCCACTCGCCGTATTCACCAGACATTACCCTTTCCGATTATCACTTGTTCCGATCGATGGTACATGACCTGGCTGAGCAGCACATCCATTCTTATGAAGATGCCAAAAAATAGGTCGATTCTTAGATAGCCTCAAAAGACGTGTCGTTTTTCCGACTTGGAATTCAAATTCTGCCAGAAAGATAGGAAAAAGTAGGACATACTTTCGATGGACAATACTTTCATTTTTTGACATGTTTTTTACGCCTTTTTTTAAATAAAGCATTAATTTTCACGAAAAATCAGCGAGAACTTATTTAAGATCCTAATATATTATAACATACCTAGCAAATATACGCATTGATTCGCCTATTTATTTTATTTAATATCTCTAAAGTTTATGTAGTTATTTGCAAAATGACTTTGATCATTCCTTCCAGTTTAATGTTTTTTGAGTAATCGGACATTCCTATCTTTGTAATACTATAATTGAAACGGAAATCTAAAAAAAAAAAACTGACGTTTCCACTTAGAATAAATTTTTTATGCAAAACGCGCGCGATTTCAGTGAGAAATGACTTTTGATCGACATCGAAATCGTCAAATAGACGTCGATTCGACGTCGATCGATAAGTCATTTTTCACTGGGATATTAGACGTCGATTCGATATCGAATAGATGTCTAGAGAGATTGTAAATAATCGACAAAATAAAATCCCGAAATTTTATCGAAAATTCTCTTTTCGTATCAATATATTATGAATGGATTCTAAAACATTAAAATTTACTCAAAATAGAAGACGTCTAAATTGCCATTTTTCTAAACGTGCATTTAGACTAGACGTAACTTAGACTTCTCCGACGTCGGTTAGACGTCGAATCGACGTCTACGTTTTCGCTGAGAAGAGGATACATACAATCGATTAATTACAAGTTGCAACATTTTTACTCGATGAGTTCCGTAACGTATCCCGTATCTAATAGGAGAACTTGTCTTTTAGTAATTCTCCGGAGATTATACGTTTTCTTATTATTAAGTACGAATTATTATTAAGTACACGGAAAAAATAATATGGTTGATCCATACAGAAATCTGGTTGTGCCAACCAGATTCAATAGTAAAATACGGAACAACTATTTATGTGGTTGCTGTAACCAAAGAGCAATGGCTGAGTTACTTATGTTGCAGCAGTGATAATACATGGTTAATACGCGACTCATTACGCGGCAACTACAAATGTATATTTATACACTCAGAACCAGTTTTCACCAGTATATCTCTAGCTGTACATCTCTAGCTGTGCGCGTAGTAAATTGCTTTTCTAATATCGCTTGCATATTGCTTTGCAATATAGCATTGATTAATGCAACTATATCGATATTTAGCTTGTCTATGCAAAATGATCCCCTTACTAATTTCTGGTTGCCACAACCAAATCACGCGCAACTTCATTGATGTAGTTGACACACCAAAGTAAGTAAGTCAAATCAACCATACACATAACTATCATACAAAGATATGTAGAATGATGCAGCTATTTGCTTACAACTAAATATTTTTCGTTAGGTGCACCGCGTCTCTTTTTTCCGTGTACGAAATACGTTGTAAACATTGATACACTTAATCAGCCGACTGTACGAAATGTTTCCACTCGTAATGATTCCCTCTTCGAAACTATAACTTTCTTTCATTTTTCTTGTCAACTAGACGATAGACAGAAGACAATGGACAAGAATACGCAACCGCCAGCACCCGGTTTCGTGCCGCCACCCCCTTACGACGCACAGCAGCAGCAGCAGCCAGTGCAACGTAAGTATAAAATCGAGAAGTTCACTTATAAATCATCCTTTGTTTTTCACCTTTGATATTATAAATATGAACAGTCATAAAGCTCGTACACAGAGAGGACGATTTGGTTGAATCAAATAAACACTTCTTTGGAATGGTCCAAATGAATTTTTTGTTTGATCGAACAAAATTTTATTTGACGCAACAAAAATATTTATTTGCGGCTTAATTCCAAAGAAATATTTTTGTTGTGTCAACCAAAACATTTGTTTGGACTATTCCAAAAAAACCTTTATTTGATTCAACAAATTGCTCTCTCTATATAGAACTCACTTTCTGTTTGATCACGAGATAAAGCATCGGGTGAGCTGGTTTGAGAAAGGAACATACGAACATACAACTACAACATAGCCATCTTGGTACCTTGCCCTGCCAAATTCAGTTACACAGTATTGCAGGATAAGAAGACTACGTCTAAAATATTCTGATTAGTAGTTCGAGAATTTTTGCGAGAGATCTCCACAACTCTTCCGCCGGCTTTCAATTATGGGCCAACTTTATCTGGTCCGTCCATATGCTCTATTTCAATCATTTTATGAATAAACATTGCATTTATTATTAAAAATAGTATATCATGCATTTGCAAGAAATTTCATTCTAGCTGACACATCGCTTAATTTTGTTCAATCACGATAGAGAATATTAATACTTCGAGAAGCTCGAAAGAGAGTTTACCTTGCTATTATTAAATCAGTTCTTTTCTATTTCGTAATTGTAGTATTATTCCGATTAATGAAACTTAGGGAAAGTATTTATTAAGTATTTCTAAAAGGACCATTTTGTACCTATTATTTTAGTCGACTCTCAATACTTTATACCATAATTACAATAATCACTTGGGTATTATGTTTTATATATGTCAAAACGATTGTTTTTATATATGTTTACGTTTGGCAGCGTGTGTAATAATAAGTGTTATAGCAAAATAAAAATAAAAACGATAAAAGACGTAGAACCAGATATCAATGTAAAGTTTGCGATGTCGGCTTATGCGTCACCCCATGCTTTAAAATCTACAATAATACACGCAATTATATTATTAGGAATATTATCAGGACTATTACTATTATTAGATTGTTTCCATTAATGTCAGTAAATGTATAATTTAAAATAAAATGAAATATAGTTGGAACAGTTGTCTTTATTTAAATTCGGTTTTTAATTAACATTTAGACACTTATTTTATAAGACTACATATATTCCACTCTATCTACAAAATGAGCATTCGTAGCGGATTTTTCCGTACAGAGAAAGCATACGCGCGCGCACGTATGCCGGAACGTATACCGAATACGTATAACGAAAGAATGAAAAAAGAAGATGGGAATTTACAAGGACTTAAAAAGAGAAAGAAATCACTAACAGAATGACCCAGTGAGAAATGACTTATCGATCGACGTCGAATCGACGTCTATTTGACGATTTCGACGTCGATCAATAAGTCATTTCTCACTGGGGAAGAATGTTTAAAATACTTAGTTAATGAATTGCGGCTGATAATCTTGCGACTTAATACGGTACGATTGCAGATGTTATCGTAGTGTCGGGAGGATTCGGCCCAGAAACGCAGCGCATGACCTGTCCACAGTGTCACGCTAACATATCCACACGGGTGGAGTCGGAAGCGAACACGAAAACACATCTGATGGCGCTACTCCTCTGTATCTTTGGGTAAGACCTTACGGGACGCGAGATATAATCAATGATACAATTAATTAAATAAGGTAATATAATTGATTCTGTATTTCTCTCGCGCGTTTCAGATTATGGTGTTGCGCACCATGTCCTTACTGTATGGACACTTGCTTAGTTAAGAAGCATTATTGTCCAGCCTGCACCGCTTATCTCGGAGTGTCTGACAATTAATCTATCTTAGCTGCGATAAGAATACAAAGAAGAGACTGGAGCATCGCGTTACAATCGATCGCGCTGTACATAGCATACGTGGCTGATATTGTGGTTTGATCCAATACACCGCAAGTAAGAACAGCAGAGTTACATCCATGCCTGAGACAGCTGCACTTTTGTTTCTTCTGTATATACATATATAAGTTCACACGGAGAGAACGATGTGTATAAAATTCAATTTTCGTTTCTTATTTTCTTATATAATGGTTATTCGATAGTAAAAATTGTATGTAAGTCATTATATTATATCATTCATGTATTATTCGCAAGATTTCCGTTTAATACAATACGTGTAAATGTGTAATAGTAGAAAGTCGTATAATCGTTTTTATATAAAGCGATACTGAGACACTTCACTTTCACGTACCTGTAATTATGTTCCGTGAGCGAAACTATTACAAAATGTTATTAATGTATATTCGATCCACAAAATTACACATTTATACATATGTTTTTCACTCGCACGTCAAATACATATAAGTACGGAACTATATAATTGTTTAACCTTGTTTTTTTTGTATTTAAGAACATCCTGCCTTCATTCTGTAATAACTTTCTTTTGCTCTTAGTTTATATTTCTAAATGTAACAAGAATTTAGGTATCGATAACAAAATTTCTTAAAAGCTATAAACAAAAGTTACCAGAATTTTTTAAATTGTATACAATTGATATAATTAGAGAAGGAGAATTAAAGGAAAGAATACAGGGAACAAATCAATCAATCATATTAATAGATATTTTTGTACGAACTGATTTTATATTTTGTAAACCCGCTATAACATTTTACTACTTTTACAACTTTTGCTGCACCATTTGGTAACAATATGGTTTACTTTCAATGGTTCTTTTCAGTACAAGTTGTAAAATGTTATTTAGTTCTTATATTTTATTTTTTTTATAATTTCGACAGCTAATCTTTTCCTAGATTTCCACGGTAACTTCTTTTTTCTTTTTTGTGTATTTCGGCAGCCTATTTTTTTAAATTTTATATACTTAATCTCTTTTTTATAAATGCGGCAGCTTATTTTTTGTTTAAAAATTTTTTAAAATTGTTCCTTTTTAGGAACTTCGACAGCCATTTTTTAATTTTTTACGACAGCTTTTTTTTCATTTTTTATACTTGTTCTCTTTTTTATAAATGCGGCAGCTTATTTTTTTATTTTTTGAAAAATTTTTTAAAATTGTTCCTTTTTAGGAACTTCGACAGCCATTTTTTAATTTTTTACGACAGCTTTTTTTTCATTTTTTATACTTGTTCTCTTTTTTATAAATGCGGCAGCTTATTTTTTTATTTTTTGAAAAATTTTTTAAAATTGTTCCTTTTTAGGAACTTCGACAGCCATTTTTTTAATTTTTTACGACAGCTATTTTTTTTCATTTTTTATATTTATTCTCTTTTTTTATAAATGCGGTAGCTTGTTTTTTTATTTAAAAAAAAATTTTTTTACATTCTTTTTTAGGAACTTCGACAGCCATTTTTTAATTTTTTACGATAGCCTTTTTTCATTTTTTATTTTTTGAAAATTGTTCTTTTTTGTAAACTTAGATAACCACTTTTTCATTTGTCACGACAACCATCTTTTTTTATTTTTTAAAATTGTTCTTTTTTATGAACTACGACAGCCATTTTTTATTTTTTTACGACAGCCTATTTTTTTCATTTTTTATAATTCTCTTTTTTATAAATACGACAGCCTATTTTTTTCATTTTTTATAATTCTCTTTTTTATAAATACGGCAGCCTATTTTTTTCATTTTTTATAATTTTTTTTTATAAATACGACAGCCTATTTTTTTCATTTTTTTATAATTCTCTTTTATATAAATACGACAGCCTATTTTTTCATTTTTTATAATTCTCTTTTTCATAAATGCGACAGCCTATTTTTTTATTTTTTCTGAAAACTGTTCTTATTTTGTTAATTGCGGTTACCATTTTTCTTTTAATTTTCGGCAACTTATTTTTAATTTTTTGAAAACTGTTCTTTTTTGCGAACTTCCATAACTTTTTCATTTGTGCCGGTATCTTTTTTTCATTTTTTAAAATTGTTCTTTTTATGAACTTCGACAGCTTATTTTTTAATTTTTTACGATAGCTATATTTTTTAATTTTTTTGAAGCTATCTTTTTTGTAAATTTTAATAACAATCTTTTTAATTTTTTACAACTTTTTTTAACTTGTGATGTTTTTGATTGATTTGTTTGTGTATAATTGATGTTTTCTTAATTTGTCTAAATTGTCCTTCTTTATAAATTTGACAGCTTTTTTTACAAAAGCTTTTTTGTATATCTGGTAGCTTTTTAATCTATTTTGAGGATGGGATCCCTCAACATTTTATAGAATACAGCAATTTATTTATTCTTAACAAGTCTCGGAAGATTTTTTCCGACAAATGTCTGTCCCGCTTTAAAAAATTTGAATCACATATTCAAAGTTTAGTTGGTAATGTGAGCTGAAGAATACACTTTAATAAGATGAATTAAAGACACAGCATCTTTCGAAGGAATCGTTACGTAAGTAAATCTTCTTTAAGCCTCGTAGATCCATTTTTCCGACGCCTGCGTCCAGTCGATCACTTCCTTCTCTCCAAACCACAGGTTAATTTCTTTCTTAGCAGATTCGACAGAGTCGGAGCCGTGGATGATGTTGCGACCGACCTCTATGCAATAGTCGCCACGGATTGTGCCTGGCGCGGAATCTTTCGGATTTGTCTCGCCCAGCATTACACGACCCGTTTTTACAACGTTCAAACCTTCCCAGACCTGCAACAGAATAGGAAAATTAATTTCATATAATTTGTCATTCGTTTTAAACACATTACATGTGTAATTAACATAATTTTAATTTCATTATATGGCAGATTGATATATTTAACTGTGAAAGTAAGAATGTTAATCAGGAAATTCTGTAGGCTCTATCTTGTTTAGGAAACATTTATAAGTTTATATCAGAATCCTAAAGATAAATATACAAGAATAATTCTTTTAAATAATAAAGCTTATAGTGAATGATCATGCGCGATACGGTAGATGAGTTACGACGGCAACTTCTGTCGTCGCGTGTTACATTAGATAAGCTGTGTGTAAACAAGAAAGTCCTCTGCTATTTGCGACATGATCTTACCATCGGCACGACTGGTCCTGAGCTCATGTATTTGACCAAGCCTGGGAAGAAAGGTTTCGATGCCAAGTCGGCGTAATGCTTCTTCAAGTGGTCTTCGGTGGGCTACAGCATACAAGATAAACTTCTTTTTACATTGAGTGTTTTTGGATAAGATCTCTACTACCAAAACATTTGAAAGTTGTACTCGATGAGTTTAAAATCTCGCATTTAAAATTTCGCGCAATATTTAATTGCAAGCCCAGACACGCAAGCGCTTTTTCGGCGCTATCGGCCGATATTCATCTATTCTAAGAGGCAGTCGTTTCAGCCATTTTCGAGATTTTGCTATTATAGAGCCCGTTCCATAACATCGTGCGCTCTGTGGCCTTATTTCCAAAAAATACAATATTTATATGACAAGCTATAGTATATTATAGCTTTGTATCGAAAATCGTATGTGATATTTTTTAAAAATACAACTCTTCGTCAATTTTTTTCATTAATACCTCAAAATTTTATGATTATTTGAAAATATTATTATTATAATTTCATTATAATATTATTATATTATTTGACAATAAGCTTTTGCTCAGGTTGATGTGTTCTATCTATACGGTTCCACTGCGAATTGCGGAACACCCGGTATATCTCACGCGCCACATGGCGCTCACGAATTTGTCATTGACCTCCGTCATGTTGGAACGTGAGTAATCACGTGGTTGGTCAGAGAGCACAAAACATCCTGGAATCATTCTGATTCAGAAATGTTCTGGGGAGTCCCAAGAAGTCTTGAATACGTCCAAAGTAATCTCAGGATGTCTTCAAGATGTTATCTGGACGGCTACTTACCCAGACCATCTTCATCGCCAGCAACTTGAAGCCTTTCTGCTCGAAGCGCTGGATGATTTTGCCGATCAGACCGCGTTGCACGCCGTCCGGCTTGACCATGATGAAGGTGCGCTCCTTGTTCTCCATGATTAATTTGCAGATAATCTGTAGCAAGACCGTGACCGAGCACAGGACCATGCAGCGCCGACGAGCCGCGAAGGAGTGAGAACGAGAAGACGAGAAATCGTGGCAAGTTTCGCCGGGGGTGGGGAGCGATGTCGCGATGATGCCGCGACGCGTCGTCCAATCGTCAGATCCGCTGGTTCTTCTGATATCAAGATGGCGGAATAAGCAGAGCTGTAAAGATAAAAGAAAGAGATCAGTGGTAGAATTATGTAAAAAATAGACGAAGAAATGGAAAAAAATTTCCTGTCTATACAATCACGTGCAAAACGATTTGTCGTGCAACGATTCGTCGAGTTGTCACACGTGATTGTATAAACAGGAAACTTCTTTCCATTTCTTTGCTATTATTTTAACGTAGTCCCACCACAGACTACTTATACGTGGCACCCGACGACACAAATAAACGAAGCTACTCTTTTGCCTTTGATCGATTGAATAATGAATTTCATTTCTCTTTCGACATCATTCCTCGCAAGGATGCAAGGAGCAATGTTTTTATACAAAATTACAAATTTAAATATTAAATTAAAGAATTTTTTAGTAAAAATTACTATAGGATTTTGTAGCCAATGAACTACGGGTACGGCTCCAGTAAGCGCTACAAATGGTTTGTAATGTTTTTGCTTCTTTCTCATTCTTCATTCGAATCCGAGAAATAGAACAAGAGAAACGCTGCGCAGCATTTGTAGCGGTTACTGGACCGCGCCCTATAGGTGCATTCAGTTTTACAACCGCTTACTGAGCGCTCAGAGAGTTCTCGCATCCGATTGGCATATTCCTTTAGATCTAAGAGTATGTATCAATCAGATGCAAGAGCTCACTGAGCGTTTAGTAAGCTCTTGCATTCGATTGGCATATTCTTTTAGATCTAAAAGTACATATCAATCAGATGCAAGAGCTCGTTGAGCGCTCAGTGAGTAACTAGAAAAACTAGTAAAATTGAAAATAATTTATATGAAAAAAAAATCATTATCTCCGTGTATATATACTTACAAAACTATATATATTTTCTGTTGCTTAACGTGCTGTAGCCTACTAATCGCTTTTGGCTACTTCACACACTTTCTTTTACAAAATTATATGTCGTTGAGAAAGTTATTTGGGTTCTGTTCCAAAACGTCCTTTTTGAAGAAAATTTTACTCAATATTTACAGTTCACGTTACATATACCATAGAGTATCGAACAAAATTTCCTTAAGGCTTTTTAAAGGACGTTTCGAAAGGTAACTTTGGTTCTTTTTCGCTGCACTCTCTGCACTAGCTCGCACTAGCTGCACTAGTTCTTCTCTTCTTTTTCTTCCACTAAGTCTTAAACATATACTTGTTTCTTTTTGAGTTCCGTAAGTGTACAGTCGACTGATTGAACGTAGCAACTTCTCCTCGGTTAGTTCTACAACGCCGATCGTCCAACTCAGTAAGAAATATCTCCTAAGAATTGTTACAAAACACACTATTGAGTGCGATGTAACGTTAGGAGATTCATCGAGGAAAAGTGTTGCTATATTTAATCAGTTCACTGTAGTACACCAGTTCAGCGAAAAAGAACAGACTAATTGTCGAGTGGTAACGCGACGCGCCTATCGCATGTAGGAACGTATCGATTGTTTCGGTCACCTTCGCCACCCGAGAGTAGCCGAGAGTCACCGAAAACGTCACGCGAGTTTCTCATGCACGCGATTGCATTCTGTACGAAATTCTCTCTCGAGGTCTTTAGTGGCCTCAATCCGCTTCGTGTCGCTTCGATTTGTCGGGTTTCCTCTCGCGAAACACAATCGCGCCTCCTACAACCGCGTTATCGACATTTCCCTTCCTCTCTCGCTCCTCTTTTCTCGGGAAACACGCGCGCATCGTTCAGCATTTTGGACGCGGAACCCGCGAAATATCGCGTTCGCGTCATCGACGAGAGCCCGCGATGAAAAAGTCCGCGTTACAGTCCTTACGTGCGACTTATTTCCGCGCAAATCCTCCACGAGTCTAACCTCTCGAGAAACGACGACGAATCGAATGTCCCTCGTTCGCTCTGTGCGTCTTTCTCCCACCACTCCTCGCTGTCTCGTCCGTCCTTCTCGCCGATGCCGAACGGTCGCGCGACCCGCCGAAGAAGACCGAACGTCACTCTAGTTTCCGGCGCTTTCGCGAAGGATACATAATGGCGCGTGCGAGAAAATCACGAGACGGATGCACATAGAGAGATCGGCCATCGCGATCGCGCTTCAGTCGTTCGTATATCCATCGTTGAATTTCCACGAAAGTGCGTCCTGTCGGCACTCCGCGCCCGCACCAGATCCGATCCCGTGTGTCACGCATTCGCGTGTGTTTCGTATCTCCGTCCCGCACTCTCACCCTCGTCGTCGTGTCCACGGCCGCCATGCAGGCGCAACAGCAACCGCAGCAGCAACAGCAACAGCAACAGGGTCACCCGCAGATAGCAGGCACTGGCGTGATACTGAAAATGAACGAAATACAGCAGCTGTCGAATGTCGGTACGTGGCATCTGTTTAGCTCTTCAGAACTCTCGAGAGCAGTATCCGTGACCTTTCGAGCTGCGCTTTGCGAACTGCACCTGTATCGTCATTTTCGCGCAGCTATCCGTGACACATACACCATCAGTAGATTTGATGCTGCTCGTTGCGTTTGTCACGTGTGCTCATTATTTTGTCGCTTTTCTCTTTCCCTTCGAAGTTGGAGGATATATTTGTTTCATTTAAAGTGTACGTAGTGTAGCAGAGTGCAGATGGAGAGGACTGTGCACAGAATACTTTCTTCGCTCTGAGTGCAGTAGAGTGCAGGTGACAAGGTGCAGTTTCGATGGTCAAAGAGGGAGAAAGAGAAACGTAATTGATACGATGTTTTTGCGTTCTTTGATCGGAACGTCCCAGATGCAACTAAATGCGGATGATTAATCGATTGAAATAAATTCAATTCATAGAGACTATCCGAGAGAGAGAGAGAGAGAGATATATATATATATGTATATATATATATATATATATATATATATATATATATATATATATATATATCACTCTTTTGTGTGTCTTTATTATCTCGCAAACTGGGAAGATCAATGTTCTGATGACTCTCATTGTCTCTCATTTATTCTAGCGATCCGGTTTTGAAAACGATTTAGAATCTCGCGAGCAAAGACTGCTTTTACTAAATTCCGGTTAAATTAACCACTTTATGCTCGTTTCAACCAACTTTGATTAATTTAACTGGCTGATTGTTCCATCAGAATTGACCAATCGCATTTGTTGTTAATCAGAATTGACAAATGCGGTTGATCAATTTTGATGGAATAATCAGCCGGTTAAATTAATCAAAATTAGTAGAAACGGACATTAATAATTTTGTAGGATTCCAGTTAAAGTTGTTGGAGAAAAAACAGAAAGTGAATAATTATTGGATTATTAGATAAAAAGTGTCTGGATTGATAACGCTGCAGCTAAATATAAAAGTACGCGTCTTATGATAGAATGTCCTAATGATAGAAAATTTAGTTAGAACGTGCACTTTTTTTAGTGTAGCGATACTAATTCACATTCATAACTCCTCACTTTTTTTTCGCCAAGAGCAGCTTCAGTTGTAACCCTGCGAGGTTACTGAAACCATTAATTTAATCAAAATTTGGTAAAAAAAAAAATCGCCTTAATAGTATCATTCAATTGTATTTTTTTAGTTAAATTTTCCGTGAAAACATCACGTGAAAAAACATATTACAAAGTACAACTAATGCTTATGTAACTAAATTTAGTGCCAAATTAACGAGCGTCTTCACTCGCTTGGTCGCCGTGAATTTTTTTTCGGACTCGCATCTACTACTCGCATTCAATATGCACAGCGTCGTCTCTCATTTTGCCTCGTAGACTTTGTCCTCACGGCGAGCGCGATAGTACGGAAGGGGGCTAGGTAAATACTTTCAGTTGGCGTTTCATTTCGGCGCCGGGCACCGAATATGTACACCGCGCGCCACAAAAGTGTTCGCTCCTTTTCCTCCTGGTTTTTCTCATAAACACACCGGCGTCGCGCCGTCGGTACGCTTTTGCTACCCCTCCTTTGGCAGCAGGTATCCCCCTCGCTCCCGGCCCTCCCTTCGTTCACCACTTCCTCCCTTTTGGTTGAACGCGACAATGGAATATTCCACTGGGTACCTATTCCATCTGCTCTCTGCACCCAGAGGGGAAACCTCTCTCTCTCTCTCTCTCCCCTTTCGTCTGCCCCTCTTATCGTTATAGCTTCTCCTGCTTTGATTCCTTGCGAGGCAGGAGCGTAGGTAGCGATATTCATTGAATGCCGATCCGATCGTGCAGTTACTACTCGTGCTTTTTCAAGCGAGGCATTGCAATCGAGATGCAGATTAAGATGCAACTGAGAATTTTCATGCGGAATATTCAAACTACTAAATTCGGTCTTGTGAATTTATGAAGAGCCGGTCCACTTTATGAAGCGCCATCTTTTTGCCGGCGAGAAGGATTTCACAAAACGCTCGACTTTGCAGTGTAAATGTCACATTTTGAGATGCATCCGACGAATGAGAGAGCCTATCGAGAGAATTATATCGAAACAAATTCTACCATTAGACGTCAGCTCTGTTCCGAAACGCGTAAGAAAAAAACAGATTCGAATTGTTCTGCAAACGGTGTACATTCGTGGACAGAGAGATTGTTCGTAATCTTTCGGATGAGTTTATGTATTCAGCCGTCTTGTGCAAAGGGAAACTTCGTTTTTTAACGAGACACTGCTCTTACAAGATAAGAATTCGTTTTCTAATGGGAAAATACTCAAGACATAAGCATTTATTGCGAGCTCTTTTCTGTCGATAAAAGTACCTCTAAATATGTTTTGATTACGTTTTGATTGGCTTATAAGTACATTTATAGAACTATTTTATCGATAAAAGAAAGTTTAGAATAAAAACCTTACAAAACCTTTTAATACAGTTTAGATACTTTTGCCTTGATGCCATTTAAAACGTAGCCGATAACCTAATAAGAGAATTTGTACGAATTGATAAGAAACAAATTTTCCTTTTAGATTATCGTGTACGTTTCAAAGATCGAGAAAAAAGTATTCAAACTATATTAAAATCAAGTGTACAGTCATTTGCGTAAAGGTTGTGAAAATCTTTTTGGAACAAACTTATGAACACGCATTTAACAAAATTGCGACCCTCCATGTGCACGAGCTTGAACATTGAAAAATTTGAGAGAACTGTTAAATTTTTAAGTACGAGACGTATATATAAAACTGATTTATGGACAGAGGTGTAAATTCTAGGTCTTTTTTTTTTTATCTAAACTGTCAGCACTGGTGCAATAAATTAGAATAAGACAAATATATTTTGTTGCACTCTAACTGATTGCATTAGTTTGCACTAGTTCAAGTTCAGTTAAAAAGAACAAACCTATTATTGTATTATATAAACAGCAGCGGTCGTTGAATGCAGTCCTGTGTAAAATTTAACTATACTTCTTTGTTCGATGTCTTACAATAATTGGATCTTTAAATTTGGAATGTGAAACTCTGTGCAGACGTATTTCGAATGAGAATTCAACAAAAAGATTCCTCCCTTGTCGCGTGAACCAGGAGGATATAAAAAAAAGATCGTAAACTTGCCCTGAACGAAGTCTCAAGTTTTCCAATGTGGTCAGAGGAGCTACAATGCGCGATGGCGCCCTTCTCGCTTACATACGCTACTGCATTTTTCCTCGTTCCCTTCGTCTCCACCCGTGACGACGCGCGACGCGTCAGTCCGCTATAGCGCCGGCCAATCGGCTCGTCCGCGCTTCCTGCTCTCTTCGAAGCAGAGAGGAAGGGTGGTAGAAGGTGATCTAGGCACAGAGTGTATTCGTAGCGAAGCTCGGAACGAAACGTAACTAGGTGGATGAAAACTAGACACGCTCTCGTAAACTGAACGGCATACTTCATATCATACGAGGTCGGAGGAGAGAACAGGAAAGGAAAGAAGAAGAGGCAAAGTGTGTCCGATCCGGGATAGTAGCTGAAAATAGTCCTTTTTTGTGCCGTCTCGGGAGCATCGTGGACAGCCAGGATGAGCGTGCACGTTGCGGAGAAGAAAGGCAACGCTCTGAAAGGCTCCAACGGGCTGATCGCGACTATCGAGAGCGAAGACGGCGACTGGCAGAATGGACAGAACCTCCTGGTGGTCACGCAAGAGCCCCAGGGCAAGGAGATGATCGGCATCACTGACAATCAGACCATCAACGTGGCAATCGACACCTACTGTTCGTACATTTCCCGGATATCATTCCTCCTGCGGCCTGAGTTTGCGTTCGCCGAGTGTCGCGGGATCGGCCGGTCGGAGTTTGAAGAGAGAAAGAGAGGGGGAAGGAGAGAAAGAGAGAGAGAGATGCTTATTTGACTTTGTGGTTAATTACGGATCGATATCGCAATATAATCGGCGCCCGTCCAACGTTTCATTCGATTACGTGCCTGCTTTCGTCTCGTTTTCGTCTCCACGCGATGATTCGGCATGCCAGATTCATCTGCGTTTTCCACGTATGAATAACACGTACCAATAACCCCTCTCTGACTCTCATGAGTCACAGATCGCCTGACATTCACGCACGGCGCTCAGCGTTTCTCGGCTTCATGAATTTCAACTTTTCCCTGCGATCTCCCGTTGCGACGAGTTACTTCTCGACACAAACGGTTTCCCGATGATGCCGCCGGTGCCTTTTCCCGTTGTTACACATACCCGTTTTACACTCCGAAGGCAAAAGTGCAATCCAGTTCAGCTAAAAGGAGCAGACTCACATCTGCCACGACGCGTCTGGCGTGCGACCGGCTTCCACACACACACACACACACGAAACGCTCCGCGCAATTCCGTCGCCTTTGTAGGATTGCCGCCGTGAACTTCGCGATAGTTTGAAAAAGCTACGAAAACACTTTAATTATTCATTGGTGGTTTGTTATTTGCGATGCTAAATCAAGCGAGCGGACAATATAATGGGTGCGTGACCGGCTACGAAAATAACTTTATTCAGCCGGCCGAACTTGAACCTGACTCGTCGTGTGACTTGAACACCCCGTAGTAGACCTCACGCATCGTCTTGCTTTTTGTTTTAGGGTTATTGGAACTGGCGCACAGAGAATACCAGGCGGGAGATTACGAGAACGCCGAAAGGCACTGCATGCAGCTATGGCGACAGGAGACAAACAATACCGGTGTTCTGCTTCTGTTGTCATCCATACATTTCCAATGTCGTAGACTGGATAAGTGAGTACTCGACGCAATTAAATTCTAGTCTAATCTTTATACAGTGCCTTAAGTCAGTATTAAGTCTTAAGTTAATGTCTCAGGTACTGTTGAGTATTTTAGGAATTGATTCTTGAGATCATTTTATGAAAAGAAATTTATGTGATTGTATGGCTTGAAGAGATACAAGGTATTAAAAATTCTATATTATAATACAAATATTTCTTAAATTAATGGCTGTATCGAAACAAGTACCATATTCTCATATAGAAATACTTCAAACTCTATCTTTCTCTTTAACTGTTCACATCCACCTCTTTATCTTTCTTCTTTCTATCTGATCTCTTCATTCACTGCTTTTCTTATTTCCTCTTCATCTTCTTTTTCCTTCAATTTTCTTTTATATCTTATTAATTTTGTTATTTCACTTTATATACTTTTTATTAACTTCACCAAGTGATTCTTCTGCATTTTTCTTCATTTCCTATATATCTTCTTCAGCTTGTATTGCCTAAAATCCTAAAAAGGATTTTTTCATATTCTATAATCTTATTCTTTACATTTAAATATTTTTACTTGCACAGCACTTGTCCCACCAATCCTTGCATCATTTTTCTTACTATACTTTTATTTTACTTCCATATCCCATCTAATGATCAAACTTATCCTCTTTATTTCTTATATCTACTTCTCCATCTCTTGTGTACTTCTGTCTTCTACTATCACGTTAATCGAACCTCCACGCATTTGTACGCCAGCTAATCTAGTCTCAGAATTTCCCTTTATAAAATAATCTCAAGAATCAACTCCCAAAGTATTGGACAACACTTAAGAAACATCCTGTATACGTGTATCGATACGTTATAAATTATATAAATAGATGTGTATAGATTTAAATTGCACCTACATGCAATACGAGATGATAACGCGTTCTTATACGTTTCAGATCGGCGCATTATAGCAGCCTAGCAATAAAGCAAAATCCATTGTTGGCGGAGGCATACAGCAATCTGGGCAATGTGTATAAAGAACGCGGTCAACTGCCAGAAGCGTTGGAGAACTATCGTCATGCTGTTCGACTGAAACCCGACTTCATCGACGGTTACATCAACTTGGCCGCGGCGCTCGTAGCAGCTGGTGACATGGAACAGGCCGTTCAAGCATATGTTACAGCACTGCAGTACAACCCCGTGAGAAAATCGGCATTATGCCCCTATTACGACTCTGAATAATTTTCGTGTGGCAAGATGCACATACTCCAAGTTATAATATTCAATTCGCGAAGTTCTTTATCATTCTTTATCATGTAATGAAAAGTTATATTCGTTTTTCTTTCTTTTTTCATTTCCTTTTCTCTTCTTGTTGGATCATGGGATCCAGAAGAGACGTCGAATATCTTTTATCTTTTAGGCAAAATAAACCGTGCGAAAATAATTAACATATTTCGCCTGTTCCAGGACCTTTATTGCGTGCGGAGCGATCTTGGTAATCTTTTGAAAGCATTAGCAAGACTTGACGAAGCTAAGGTACGTTTTAGAACTGTCGCTATTAGTTGGTAAATTAACCTGACGCGTCACGCACATGGCCGCGAGCATCTTTACCTCGATCAAGCTATAGACGGCGGAACACTTGAAGAAGAACTAGCGGGTACTGCTCCTTGAACTAGGATCTCGTTACGGGAGTCTTAAAACCATTCAGAGTCCATTTGGCCTACAATACCGACCTACCTATCTACTGCCTGTCCAGCCTGAAGATACCTTGTCTCTTCTAAATCCCGAGAACGACGGAAATTGATTACGATTGATTCCCCGTCGGCGTCTCGCCTAGATCAAGGAGAGCAGAGAGGAATCGATTACTATGACTATATTACTCTCGTGACTAAGAGACACTCCGCCGCTCTCGAGTCTTCGTTGACGTCTTGACGGGGTACAGATGTGTCGCGCGTATGTGCACGAGCTACAGCGCGCAGTTCTCCGTGGAATGAGCGGGCAAAGCGAAATACGTTCGCGTCGTTGCGACGAGAAGCTTTCACTCTTTGCCAAGCAATTTGCAAGCGCGGCGCGCGATCATCCGTCGTCGAGATCAGTTCCTCGTACCGATCCGAATCTCCCTTATTCAATAGCCGTTCTTCTATGGAATAAGCGAGCTAAGTAGAGAATGAAAAAGAGAGAGATACACACGTGAAGCGCAATCGTGCAATCGCACTCTCGACGGCGGATTAAGAATCGCGCGCGTTCCTCTACCCTGTGAAACCGGATAAACCGCGCTTCACGTCGCCAGCAGAATTCCACCATCCTCCGAGAGCAACGTGAAGCGACGGTTTTAACCCTAAACAATATAAGCCGAGTCCGACAGACATCTCAATTTGCGTGGCTCGCAAGAATCTGCAAGACTTTTCCTGTTTAAAAAAATCACGTTGAGACGATCGAATATAAGATCGAATTTATAGTTATGTAGCGATTACTTTTCGCTACGCGATAGACTTGCGTGACCGCGATGCATTGAAGTAAACTCACTAGAGTCGAGAATAAACGAGAATACTTTATACTGTTTAGGGTTATTGTCGAAGTAGCTGAGGAGAGAGCATTCTTTCTGACATTGCGCGTTTTGCAGCAACACCGAGAGGAAGTAGATTTGGGGATCGTTTTTACAAAGAGCATATGGTGTTGCCGCAAATTCTAGGTTGCTTGCCAGTCCCATCCGTGTGTGTGTGGATTTCAATCATCATACCGATGTCGATGGGCCTGGCAGCGCGCGAATTTATAGCGAATGAGCTGATCCTGTTTCTTGTTTGAGGGTGTGCGACTTGCTGTGGTCATATAGCGCACGTGCATCGCCACGTGTGCGTTCCTTTCAGCAGTTTCATGTTGATGACAGAAAGAGAGGGAGAGAATCTATGGTGTGTACGGTAACATCGGCGCGAGATCACTTGACCGTCTCTTGAATGCAATGCAAGAGTTGTCACGCGCTGTACAACGCGACAGTATTTTGTCACGAAGACTGTTCGTAATCTTTCCGACGTGAGATTAAAACCGGGAAAAACGTGATAAGAAGTGTAATGACGTTGAAGCATTAACGTTATTGATACAATTTCCGAGTAATATTAAGACGATCGAGAATTTCGCGGGGAGTTTCACGACTTACTCGCAAGTTGCCTGTCGAATTGGTGACTAAAATTTGTCGTTGGTCGGTCAAGTGGTCTACTTCTGCAGCGCGGCGCGGCGACGACTGATGAGAGCGCGTCTATAAGTGCTACGTATTCTTTTCGCTCGTTATTTGTGGCGTTTTGCAAGCAAGTAATCCCGCGTTGCGTCACGCATTCATTTACGAAATGCGATTTATAGACACGCTCTCACACAGTCCTGAAAATGACAGCAATGAGGAAAGCTTCCCGTTACATTTCCCGCTATTCCCGAGAACTGGCTGGTACGCTCGTCCGTTTCACGCCGAGCTCGATCAGCCATCTACTCTTATTAACTGCGTGAAGCGACGTGATATTTTTCGTTCTTGAGCTATTTTCTGCGCGTGTTGGTGTCCGCCGATAGTACGTTAGAAAGGAGAGACCAACGTGGCGACCGTTCCGACCGTGAGAAGGATCGACAATAACAACAGCAACAGGAGCAGCTGGCTGACGAGCTCGGTGGAGCGTGTCGCTCACTGACACGCAAAGTTTTCCAATTCTTTGTGTACACACACGTGTAGAAAGAAAGTAAAGAAAAAAAGAAAAGAAATTTGTAAAAAGAAAAGATAAAAGACAAAGAAAGATTGAGGCGAGGAGTATCAGTTGAAGAGACATTAACGCAGCTGTCTTGTTGTTGTGGATGGGATGATCAACTCTAGGAGGGGAAGTGCAGGAGCAATGTGAGATTGGTCGGTTACCGCGCCGGTTCCTTCGTCAAAGGGTGAATCTGAATCTGGTTATTCAGTAACACACTGTCTCTCGGTCTAAGTTTATTATGAGAGCTTGCAAGCCGTACCTACCGAGTCAACCTACCGAAGGGTACACTGCAGGTAAAGTAATTCCCAAGGCCGGTCTCTAACGACCTCCAATCAATCCCGGTCCCGTCCGAGGGCTTTCCTCCGTGAAAAGGGGAAGTCTTACCTTTTGTATCCCACCATTCCAGGTGTAGCGAAGCGAATTCACAAGAGAAAGAGAGAGAGAGAGAAAGAGAGAGAGAGAGAGAAAGAGAGAGAGGAGACGACAAATGCGTTGAGAAAATGCATTCCTATGTTAACCCGAACCATTTCTATCGCCGCGGCTAGCCGGGCTTTTGCGGAATGCTTTTAAGTGAGCTTGAAGAATACCTTACGGGACATCTCGAGACGTTTGGCCATCTCACGTTTATATAAATTTATATTTTTGAATCAGAAAAGAGACGGTACACAGCAAATCGTCACGGGGTTATTCGTTCAACGTTGAGTTTCAAGGTGTCTTCAATATCCTCACTGAGAAATGTCATTTCTCCGTTTCTCTCGGCGCTAAATCTTACGAGAATATCTGCCCGGAGTGCGCGCACATTGCGCCGCACGCAGATTCTAATAACCGAGATCGATTGGAAACACGAGGGACGCTCGCGTCGAATTCGACCCAGTCCTCCGCTTTTTCTTCCTTTAATTCCAGGTACCGCACCTCGCAGAGACCGGCCGACTGTAAATGCCCTCTTACTTATTGTTTAGGTACGGATTACTCTGTTCAATATAATGCAGCCCGCCTCTCGGCACGCGCGATGAGTATCCACGCTGAATCCTTAGAGTCGTCATCCTCTCGTCGCCACCGGGTCCTTGTCTAAATCTTAGGCCTCATTCGTCTCGCCAATAGCAGTTTCGCGTCTCGATCGCGAGCATTCATAGAGCACACCCTGAAGAGTCGATTGCAATTTTTCACGTGCGACTTTCGGCGCGCGGTCGAGTCCGCCGGACGCATTCCGGGGACTTGGCCGTGTGCCGGAAGTCGCGCGTATTCCTAAGATGACGCCTCTAGCGCGCACCCGAACACCCTTGATCCCGAACAGCCCCACGCTCCTGGCCTGAGAACGCATTGTCGAGCTGACTCGCGAGGCGACCCTCGTTCGCTCTGTTTTCATTCCTTGCCCTTTCCTCGCCCTCGTGACAAGCACGAAGAGGGCGACGGATTTTAAGAGGCTGATCACGTTGAAAGAGTTAGGAAGAATCTATGAAGTCGAGTGGATTCGCTGCATCGTGTGTTACGGCTATAAAATGTAGAGAGTGTTGGCTACTTGAAATGTTTACCGAATACACACTCAACTCTCGCATCGTTTTCTGCGTTTCTGGTTCATGTTAATACATGGACAGGTCGTCCAGGTCTTTACACTCGCAGATTTTTCGTTTCGTACGATCTTCGCTTTACCGAACATCTTTTCTTCCGATGCGCTTCGGTTCCACGACACTTGTCGGCCGATATCTCATTTAAATTGATTCAGTCAGTTCTGACTCCGACTCACGCTGACGTTTACTTTCGCAAATTTCAATGATTACATGATTGATACATTCTTGTGTGACGTTATTCTGAAAATCACCGTACTCTCTTATAAAAAATCAGTAAAAATGTTTCTGATTGAATCAGTAAAAGTGGTATTTTAACTGACAATACTGGTCAATAGATTTTACATATAATATATATCCTTGGATTTTCATTTTTTCTCTTTATGTTTATGTTGAGACAGAAAGTGAGAAGAGTTATTTTTATTTTATCTAATTGAAAAAATATAGACTGCATTTTATTTTTTGTAAATTAATAATATGAGATAAGAAAATAAAACAACAGAATATCTTTTTTTTACAATTTTTTATTTTTTGGTTTATACTGTCAGAGAAATTAAAATTTCTTTCAAATATCACATTATTAGGCAATTTTTAACGCTCTCGAAATAAAGATAGTTGCAGCAAAAGTATAAAAAAATTTGAGGCCTCTACTCTCTACATTAGTTTAAAATAGATCTCATTCACAAATTTTTATAAAGCCATACACACCAGTAAAATAGAAAAATAGCTTTTGAAGAGATAATTTAGGAATTTAGAATTCTCCTTTTCCTGATTCTCTTTTCCTGATCCGAGATTTGATTGATTGACTGTAGCAATGCTACAGTTATAACTGAACCACCAATTATAAATGTAACATTTAAATGAAGAGTACACTGATTGTACTTTAGAGAGTGCATTTACATTATATTTAAAAAAGCTTTTGACATATTAATATCTCAAAATTCCTGCAATTTTCCAATAATATAACACTCGAGCTTTAAGAAAAAGAATAACTTATCTCGCGACGACCACGAAAGGTTGTCGAGAAGACCAACTGGGACTTGGGCAGTCCCGAAGCTACCACGAAGATAACGAGGACGAGGGTGGGGAGACGTGTGCGAGGAAAGGAAACAGAAAGGGCACAGGGTGGCGAAACATGTTCTTTTTTTCGTCGAGCTTAACGACGGGAAGGTGAAGCGAGAGATAAAGAAAGAGCCGAAAGAACGGGAGAGTGCGTGTGAATGTGAAGTGAGCGAGTGTTGAGAAGCTGCGGCGCGGCGATGGGAGGTCGGGCATAGCGCGCGGCGCGCGTCCCTTCGAGTTCGCGAATGAAGCCGCTGTAAATCGCATTCTGTTTCTCTAGGCCTGCTACTTGAAGGCGATCGAGACACGACCGGACTTCGCGGTCGCTTGGAGCAATCTCGGATGCGTGTTCAACGCCCAAGGCGAGATATGGCTGGCGATACACCATTTCGAGAAAGCGGTCGCGCTGGATCCGAATTTCCTCGACGCGTACATCAATCTTGGCAACGTGTTGAAGGAAGCGCGTATCTTCGATAGGTACGTCTTCACCAGTCGTTCGTTAGAGATGAGAAATTTCTTCCTTATTTTGGTAAAATGGCAAGAATTACGGAATGATGAGGGGATACTGAAGTGGATGACGAGCTCAAAAAAATGTCGATAACGTTGAGATAATTCTTACTCGTATATCAAATAGATTGTTAAGTTTATCATTTCTGTGATATACATATATGATATAATCTATATTGCGGAATATAGATAAGAAGGAACATATTGCGAAAGAAATAATTTTAACGTAACCTTCACCACAACATTTTCTCCGTATATACTCAAGTAGGAATTTACTACTGGTATCAAAGTGACCCAGTACCGATTTATGATAAACGTTACTGGCATAGTACCAGATGCCAGTACGGGTTTAGTATTGGTGCGATATTGGGATGATAAAACCCAAACCTTAGTACGGAGCCAGTACCAATAATAGAGCTTTTTTTATATTAGGCCCAGTATCGAGCCAGTAACCAAAACTGGATATCCGCTTTTCGGTATCGACTCAGTATCGAGTCATTTTTCCGTACTGACGAAACGTATACGATATTGCCGCAACTCAGCTCTTAGCTATCTTGAAAAACAATTTTCATATAAAGGCATCCGCTATAGAGAAAACATTGCCCAGCTTTCTTCCAAACCATGGTTCAGTCCTCTGACAAACAAAGATAGAGAAATCATCTGCACTATTGCTAGGATTAAAGCTCACCACATATACTCCGGGACTCATTTGGCGGACAAAAATATTGTCGACAGCGCCGCTTGTGAATGCAGCTTCATGCCAAGAAATTTAGAACGTATACTCTTCTATTGTCCAAAAACCAAAAAAGAATCGGATCTACTTATTACCAAATTATTCCAAAGAGGATACGCAAGCGAAAACATCTTCAAGGAAGCCTTCAATCTACACAATTTCTATTACTTTTACGAAATTCAACAGTTTTCGAAGAACACTAAACAATTTCTATACCCTGTGCACTGTTAAATCCGTAGTGTCAAATTATATTCAATTTGAGTTATTTTTAACCATTTCTATAAGTCGCCACTGCTCCTACTAAATATGTCGTTAATTTAACTAATGTAATGGAGTTAAATAATTTAACTTAAGAAATGTATTAAATTTTACTAAAATTTAGTTTATTTTTTATTATGTGCACGTTAATGTAACCTTTGTTTTAATAAAAAATGACTTAATATTGTTTTAAATGGGTTGATTAGGTGTGGTTGTTTTTTTAAGCACATATTTTTGTTGTTTGTGTTAAAAAAGTAAATTTTGACACACATGATAGTTAAAAATAACTAAATATTATTTAACTCAAAAAATTGGTTTAAATTTGACTCTCCAATATTTAACAGTGTGGGACCACTAATCAGCGTAATGGCGTTGGGGCAAAATTCTTAGAGAAGCCTGGAGCCAAATATTGAAGTTAAAGTTGAAGTTGAAACATATACGATCCCTTCCCTCCCCCCCCCCCCCC